GTAAATGTATATAAGTAAAACATTTTTAGACAATGATTTATGATGGGCATAGCTGAATCAATATCCACAAAAATGGTTTTGAGTGTGTTATATTTTTTTTTATTTGTTTTGTTTTGTTTGACGACGTATTGTCAATTATACAATGGTAATTTCCATTCTAATACCGATACGATACATACTGGTGAGCTTGAGATAAAAGATACCACAGAATCTAAGACACCTGTTTCATATTTATATTTTTGACTTGAAAAAGCCGTTATAATGGTAATCTAACAACCAAGCTCTATGAAAAACGTGATGACTTAATCTAACTTTTCTATCGTCAATTTCCCTTACTTATGCAGCAATATACCTTCGTTACCTGCAATCGGAGTTTATATACTAGTTTCTCAGTTGATACACAAGAGCATGCTCACGTATGAACAATTTCTATAACGAGGAAAATTATTGACAAACGAGTTGATAAAACAAGTATTTCAGCAGTCTCGTTTGAAGTCATCATTTCGTAAGTTCTACGGTCGATACAATGATCTTGTCAGCAAATACAATTTATCATTGAGTCAAATGCTGACTGGCGTTTTTCATACTTATTGTTAGTCCATTATTAGGGCCCCGCAAAGATTTGCGGGTGCCCTATAGTAATCACTCTGTCCGTCCGTCCGTCTGTCTCTCCGTCTGTCACTCTTCCATCCACAAATTTTCTATTTTTTTTTTCTAATAACTTTTTTTATGGTTGCCCAATCAAGTTCAAATTTGGTATGGTAGTTCAGTAGGCAGAAATACATATTTTGATGCTAAGTTTGGTTCTCTATGTCTTCTGGTTTGGAGCTGGGGTGGTGGGGTAGATTCCTTAACTTTATATAAGAATGCATTGGTAAAGAGAGATAACTGCTGAAGATGTTCACATTGTAAACTGAATGCTGCTATGAGTCCGTTGGGATTAATTAGCTTTCCTCCTGAAGAAAATCCAAAGCATTATCATTATCTGTCACATTGAGATGAATTACCACCTCTGTTTGCAGATGAAGTTTGTTTTGAAGTTAAGTCAACTTGGAATGCTATGAACACTCTGAAATGTGGATTTAAATATAAATTTTTATAATTTATTTTTGTGTAATAGTTATGATTCATTGAATTATAAAAACAAGAAATAGATTAAAGAAGATTTTTTGATTTACTTTTTTCACTTTATGTTAATTCAAGAATACATGTATTATTAATATTTAAGATAGTTGTATAAAAACCCCATTCTATCATTAATACTGAAAAAGTTCTTATTGTAACTTTAGAAGAAAATGATGAGACAGGTACAATTAATCCCTTGGGATTAATTATTTAGCCTGCTGCAGAATATTTAGTAGGCTTTTCTTTATCTGTCACTTTAAGATTAATGAAAACCTTTGTCTGCAACTACTGTTTGTTTGAAGTTAAGGTCAAGTCTTCAAGATATTTGCATTCATTGAAGGCTGGCATTTTATATAACACAAACTTCATAATTGTTTAAATATACATTCAATGTTAAATTGTTCTTTACTTCCTAATGTAAATACAAGGATATTATTTTCAGGTTTTTGAATATATAGGAATTATCTTGAAATTTTAAGAGTACAGTTGCTGTAGCTTATTCTTCATACATTTTTTAATCATTCCGTAAGCTGCACCCTATTAATTCTACCCCATGGCGGGGCCCTTGCTGACTGGTCAGTTTTTTAGTTTATACACTGAATTGACGACGGATTTTTCCGTCATTTTCCGATCATAACAAGGAGCACACGGCGAGTGTGACCAGTTGGCAGGGGATGCTCACTCGTACATGGTACCTGATCCCACCTCCAATATTTTGGAGGTCCGTGTTTGCTCTGCTTCTATTTTGTAAATTGTGTTATGGACTTTTGATCTTAAATACTGTTCGTACTCCATATGTTCCATTTACAAAAGTGATGTCATTAAGTAGCCGAAGTCAATATCTCGGCTCCCCTTCAAAACGAACTTTTTATTCGAATAGTTCTTAATTTATTAAAGATTTAATACTACTGCTTTTATTTGTGCTGTTTTAAATACTTTTGTGCAACTTTAAAGGTGCTTAGACAGAAAATTTGATGTAATTGTTTTCTAAAATTTTCGGTATTATATTATGACTGATATGCGATAACAAACCATCGGGGTTTCGCGAACACCATCGGACTTTGGCGTCATCATCGGACTTTGGAGTTTTACCTATGTTACTTTAGCATTTCACATGGAAATATAATTTTAAAAACTTACTATATAAATCTGGAAATTATTGAAACTTAGAATTTTGGGATGCGCTTAATTGATACATCCTTGCAAAGCAAATTTTATCCTTAATACATGTACTTATAAGAAGTGAAAAAATCGTTGTGTTTTAATAAAATATATTAAAATTATAATCCAGAAAAATTAGAGTAGAAATGTGGGAAAGCAAAACCAACTCAACAGTATTATCAGTCCGTATATACTCAGTGATGTGTACAGAGTTGAACACGGTAAAACGTCAACATTAGCAAAATCTTCCTGCACTTTTTACAAAAACAGAAACGTTTTACAGTTGTTCAACTTGTCAGAGAAACACATTTAAAGAAATATCTTACATAAAGAAATTTTAAGAATCAGAACCCCGAATATAGATTTAGTTTCTCTCTCGAAGAAATGCTTTGCCAGTTACCTTAATAGATACAGCAATGATAATTTTTCGCATCGTTTCTCGATCGTAGATCCAGTGTAAGAATACTACAAAAAACCCATTTCTGGCCATTATGCACACGTCAATACAATAAATAAATCAATAAAATCCCCCCCCCAATTTCTTTATAATTTTTAAATAATTCATATGTAGATGTTTGAAAATATTTTCGCCGCAACTAAATGAAAAGAGGGTTGTTTTTCCTATTCATTTAGTTATATTATGTCCATAAATAGGATCATAAACTAACTGCAAGAAGTAGTAATTTTGCTCGATCGGTTCATTTTAGAATCAGAATTTTTCTGTTTATTAGTGTTTTGTGCAATAATTTTATGAAAAGGTCCAGAGTGTGTGTTGAGTCTGCTCAATGAAAAAGGTAGGATAACGAACAGTGATCTATCACTAAAAACTATACTAACAATATAAATCTGTGGACGGGGTATAAAACATAGACCCCTGGCAATTACAGAAGTATGATCAGTTGCCTAGAAGGAGTAAACATCCCTCGAAATAGGATGCTTTAGGTCCTGAAACAAGAAAAATGATATTTTACACGTACTTTACCCTAGTCACCAAAAAAGCTCAGAATATGTTTACCCTAATCAAAATTTACTTTACCATAATCATGCTAAAATTTTTTATTCGCAATCTGGCTTTAATCAGCCAATGTCATGCTGCCTTTTTGCGATAGTTGTGTTCTTCTGTACGAAATAATTCAATTTTAACAACAAAATTTATAATACAAGTCTGTATAAAGCTGAAACCAAGTGCAAAATGATCGAAGCGTATTTGTTTGTCGCCATCTTGGATTAGGGTAACGCACTTTACCCTAGTCCGTTTCTACACAGTGACATGTGCTCCGATGATATATAATCCAATTGTTCATGTAATCTAAGTTGCTGATTGTTTTCTGGAACTGATAAAGCCACAGAAAAAATCTCTTTTCGTAACTTCAGATTATAAAGTAAATAAGCAAACACAAATTTATAGATATCTACGAGTAAATAAAAAAGGTACTGGCAGTATAAAAGAGACGAAAACAACACCAAGTATATGCATTTGACTTTATTTTGCGACTCCCCCTGCGATATGCTTTCCCATAAACGACTCCCCCCCCCCCCCCCCCCCCCCCCCCCCTACGTAACCGTTACTGTCTGGAGAGAAAATGTCTCAATTATTAATTTTTATAAAGTCTAGTCAAGTTTGAGTTGCTGCATTTAAAAAGATAAACGTTTTCTCTCGCTGTTTTAAATGTGAGATTCCCTACGCAAGCCGTAGATTGTGCAAATCATGCATGTTTTTACTACCATGTTTTTATTAACATAAATATGAAAACTGTCAAATAGTTTCGAAGTGTTTGAGAAAACTAGACGTATAAGATAGCCGGACAAATGACCACGATAAAGCTGAACTATTTCCATCTTCATTGGGATATTTGCTTTTTGTAAATACATCTTATATATACCGAAAAAAGACGTGACCCACATCACCTCTGACTCTGAAGCGGTGCAAATCTACTCCCCCATACGTTGAAAACGACTCCCCCATACTTTTTAGCGACTCCCCCGCGTTACCCGTTGTATAGGGTGGCATTTCTTATCACCTCTTTTTCTTGCATTTATAATTACCTAATTTCGAATTTCATTTCATTATTGGATCGTCAACCCATTCGAGTGATAGTCGGATAGTCCACTATTCGTTGATATTCCCAATTTTTTTTTTTTTACAAAATCGAGGATCAAACATGCAAGATATATATCAAAACTTTAATATAATTAATGAATGGTGATTACACAATGTTTTTTTTTTTAAGATATGTAAACAAATTTGAAACTAGGAAATGTAAAACCGTTATAGTCATATTTCCTTTTAAATGTATCATTTTTATCCTCATGTGTTTAATTATCTCTAGTAGTGAACTATGATTAAAATTTCATGGTTGAACACGCAGTACAGAATATAAAATAAATGTGTTTTTACAAACATTTTCTGTTACATATCTTTTAGAACCTAACGTAAGGACAACCTTTGGTTTATCTAAAATGGGCCTACAACAAATTGCTATATCAGGAAATGCAAATGAGTACATCACAATTTATCAACACCTTATATTTTATTAATACTTGAAATTTTCCAATCAAGATTTTTTGGTATTGTGTTTTCCTCTCATTAATCAAAGCCTAGCTTTGAAAAAGACTTAAAGATTCTTTGTTAAATTTTTTCCCAAATTTCCTTTAAAGGTCTTTAAAAATGTGTTTGCAGAACTCGTAAGTTAATAAATATCATTTTTACTTACCGTCTTTAAATCTGTCTTCTAAACAGACTGGTCTTCCGTTACTCAAACCCACACACTCCTCTTCACACGCTGTTGCTTTACAAGATCCAGCCAGCTCCTTAGTATAAAAAAAACCTATTACGCTATAATGAATTACCTAAGCATACATTCCGTCATGCGTTTTCTCTTTTTTATTGAAGGACCAAACTTTCTTTTTCCCTGTTAATATGCATATCTATTTGCTTAATTCTGCCACCAGATACCATTAAATTACATTTTATTTGAGGATGCTCATATATGAATATTAATCATCATGACCCTTTCTCATATCAAGAAGAATTTTGTGAGGTTTTGCATTCATAAATTTCAATCCAAAACGATGATTCCCTGGTTAGATTCCACCCTATACTCTTGAACCACACTTCCTCAGCAAAACGACGGTTGTACAATAAAATCATACATCTTCCCTTCATATATAGTGGTCTTGTACTTACAAAAAGACTTTGTTTTAGTTTTTCCATACATTCTCTTGTAAATTGTTAACTCTTTTTGGCGCCACCTTACGCCAGAGGCGTTTTATTTACATTTTGTCAGACTAATATCATTTATTCTTTGCAGACGCAGTCGGTAGTGTTTAGGAAAATTTTAAAAAATATGATCGAATGTTCTTTTATTCTGAATTATTTCCCCAAAGACGAGGGCGTTGCCTTTTTTATAAGCTAGATTCACTTCACTAAAAGACGATTTGTGGCTGGTTTGGATGGTGGTTCTGCAGAAGAAGTTGAAAATGGATAAAGAGACATATAATTTATACCAAACACCCTAAGGTCAAAAATGTTCCATTGATATTTTACTCACGTTTACATGTATATATATTTATTATTTCCCGGAGTAAATACATTATTTTACAAAACTATTCTTTAGTTTTAAGATCGTAAAACTTACTAATATTCATTTCTGTATTATTCATGTTGTGCAAAATATAAAAGAAGTTTTGAAAGTCCACTCACTACATCATGCAATGAATACTCAGTCGTGCCGATGATAAATCCGAAACATATTTACTAATGTCATGAATATTTTCATTCATAGGATATATTTCGTTATCATTACATGTATTATTATTGGAAATATCTATTTCAAGCGAATTACTTATATAAGCCGAATGAAATAAATATTTTGCTGAAAAAATACCATGCTTGTCGCCGACAAGGACTTGGTCGGATAATTATTCATTTAAACGGTAAATGTCTTGCATGATTTTAAAGGGATTCGAAGAATTTGAAACTGTGTAATCCTTTCAAGAATTCCAGAGAATATAACAGTATATTTCCTAGAAACATCTGACCATGTTCACAATCAAAAACGTCCTTAATTGAATAATACTCTCTGTAGTATGACATAGGGACTGAAATTGGAGTATGAGTACGCAAGAAGTTTTATATCCTCGGGACCGGGCCTTCAGATGAGACAGTATCTTCTCAATAGCTTTAAGTACTTAGTATAGCACTCAAAATTTGCAGCTCTCAGCCGGCAAGCGGTTTCCTATCAATATGAGTGGTAAATTCTCGAGGGAGACGTAAGAAAACAGACAAACCAACAAACTAACCTGTGGCTGATTTTCCATTTCAATGTAGTCACACCCTGAGTCCAGAACAAAAGAGGTTTCCGATTTTCCCCGTTTTGCTGCAATTAGATCACAATTAAACTGTTGCTTTTGATAGTTCACGGACCTGCATTGACGATTCTCTAAACATTTTCGAATGCACTGTTGCGGTCCTATGTTGCTTAAAACCTTAATAACCTTGTAAGAAGTTAGGCACTGGCCCGGAGCGGTTACTTTTATGTTGGTACATTTGTCAGTTTGTCCCAATGTGAGATGGTGTATCCCATAAATAAATAGAAGAAACTGCAGTTCAAACATTACAAAATATTAACAAGAAAAAAATAAAAAAAATGAGGATTATCTCAAAAGATTATCCAAGTGTCGCAAATGAAAATTGATATGAATCTTCAATTCGGTAACTATGATGAAAAACAGAATAGCTCCAAACATGCGCAACCAATATCACTCGGAAAATTATACTGCCATTCAAAACAGAAAAAAATAATCTTAAAATATTAATATTTTAAGCGCATAAATTTCATCAGTTAGTGTTAGAAGTACCGTATACACGTTTTTTTTTCGCGTGTTGGAAATTCTGAGAAAAGAGGGTAGATTGGTACAGTTTTTATTTTGCGTAAGTTAATTTTTTGTCTCCCGCTTTCGCGAAAGCGAGGGGACATTAAATCTCATTCGTCCGTCCGTCTGTCCGTCCGTCCGTGTTTACGAGAGTGCATTTATTGGGTATTTTTCATGCCAAGATTGTACTTATTGGGTACTTTTTGCTTATTGGGTATACCCAATAAGAAGTGTCGCTGAATATGCTTAAAACACCCTAATTGGGTATTTGCAGGTTAGTACCCAACAAAACTTGGACACGACGATTTGTCCAAAAAAGTGTCCAAAAAAGTTGCTTTGACGGACGCACCGTGTTTTGTTGTTTCAGTTTTACATTCGGAACTCTAAATTCTCGAGAGTTCCGAAAATCAACTTCCGTTGATCCTGATCATAACAACGTTTGTTTTCATGGAAAAAAATATGGCGACTAAGAAACACTTAATGTCAACAAGATTTTCTGATTGACAAGAAAAAAGGTAAGTTTATTCGATTAATATTTATCCATTTCTGGATTCTTGTTTAAGGAAAATAGATTTAAATGTAATTTTGAAAACAATTGCGCACAAAATTAAAATAGATATATCGGAACAATTAATCCTAAGTTGCACTTGTTTGTATTTTGAATTTTCTCTGTCTTTGTAACTCTTGAGGGCGAGAAGTATTTAGTAAATGATTGTATATTGTTAGATAATCTTTAATAAATCGAAAGTGTTTATTATTTAATTTTATATCATAACCAACTAAGTATGTTCTGACAATGTATATTGGAAAGGAAAATGAAAATTTTAACAATCGTGTGTTCATAAATCAGCTGTAAATTATCGGTTCATGTAGACAGTATTACAATCGCAAAGTGAGCTGAGATGATGATAAATGGGATAATTGACAACAACTAAATAATTGTATGTAAGTTTATCTCATCTGATATGTAACTTAAGAGATTCATTTCATTACTGAAAAACTTTCAGTCAAAACAGTGCTTCTTTCTGTCTTTGATTTTGAGTGTCTGCTTTATTTTGATTTTTTTTTAAAATTATTGTTTTTGTCATTTGTTTTAATTAATTTAAAACAATACTGAAATTGATATAGGGCTACTATAACTATTTCACATGATGGGTGTGTAATTAGCATCGCACTACACCCGGGGCTTCCATTTTTGAGGATGGGGCTAGTGGTTTTCTGCACTGAGGAATCCCCTTGGGCTATTAGAAATTTTAAAATACACATGTAATACATGAAAAGCACCACCGGTATTTTCACTCTTTTTTGCTATTGAATTCCTTAATATGGAAATATTCCAGACAGCATGCTCCTATTATCCATAAATCTCCACAACTGCATCCATTTTGCAGTACTACAAGACTGATTTACTTAAACACGATCTTTTATTTCCTAATTTGAATCCCCCCCCCCCTTTCCTTTGTTTAATATAGCAATATTTGCTTGTACATATATGCCTCACAGATATCTCATTATTAAATTATATACATTCACTCAATCAGCTCAATGATGTGTCATGAATTATGTAGCGTTTTTTTAAAGCCATAATATGGCGTAACTGATCAAAAAATATGTTTTTGAAAAATACAAAATTAAGTAAAGAAATATAGTTAATACATTAAATACATTTAAATTAAAAGCTTTTCATACAATTCGGAGCACGGAGAACACATCGTTTTATCTAATAATACGATTTTATCTTCTCTTTAATGTGTTATTTAAATCTTTTGTATTTTCTTCCAAGTCGGAGAAAATTCTGAGAATCAAAATTAAATTTTGATATCTTTATAACGCAATTGACTTAGATTTTGTAATTTACGGAAAATTTCTATCTTTATCATGTTTATATAAAGTAATGATACAAATAATACTTAAAAAGTTCTTATAATTTTAGTCTAATAATTTTCATTGTACATACGCCATATCGTCGCTGCACTTCCAAAACCTCGTAGGTCAAAATATGCGCGAATTTTTTTTTCCCTATTTTAGAATTGATACCCCAGCCTCCATATACACTCAAAATATCGTAACTCTACGCCAATCAGAAGTCATAAAATTATACATGTGACAAAACCTCGTAAATCTATTGGTTGTCTCAGCTTATTCCAAAATATCGTATGTCAAAATAGAAAAAACATTGAAGTTGCAGATGACTGAAAATACAGGTAAATTGTCACTTTTATTAAATATTTTGCTCAATTAATAAATTAATATGCCATGAATATGCTTCTTTACTACATGTACACGCTGAATTCAATTTAACAGTGTAAAAGAGAAGAGATATCGTCTGATCAGCAACGAATAAACGATTTTCCCCCTGTTTTTGACTTCGCAAAGTTTAGGAAATAAATCTATGTCATTTTGATATCATCGTTTATATTTTTAATGCTTGTTAAAATCAATAAATACTTCATTCAAACTTTTTTTCTGCAGATACGAGGTTTTGTAATTTTAACTTGAATGAATAATACGTGACATACGACATTTTGAAAGAACCTTTGATTAAGTTGACAGTCATTTTCAAATTAGATAGGTATGTTAATATAAGGTTTTGGTATGTATCCTATTAATATAATAAAAATGCGAGTTGTATTTTACATTTGAAGGTGCCAAATATTTTTTTCTGTTAGTCTATAACAAATCAAACCATATGCTCGTATTTTCACTTTTGTAATTTTAAAATCTAAATAACGATTTTTTAGATGTCAGATTCTGAAGAGGAATGGCCTGAATGGACTTGTTTTGAGTGTCATCGCCTTGCAGTGAACTCTGGTTGCCTTGATCTGCAAATGATTACAAAGGAACATGTAATACTTGTTGATGTAAATGGAGAAAAATGGGTGCGGTGTATATGTAATAAGAGATTTCATTTGAATTGTACAACAAATCTTCCTAAAAGCGTCAAGGAATCAGATTTTAAAGACATATATATTTGTGATTATTGTGGTTGGTTTATGATTGGGGCATACGATTCGGAAAATGCAACAACCTTGTAAATGGGGAAGAACTTACACAGATGTCAACACAAAAGTACACCCAATTCAACCGGTTGTATCACTTTTACAAGGTAGAGAACGTGGAGATTACTCGAGAAGAGGCCAGCAATTTCAATTTATAGAAAATATTTATTATTCCTGGTTTCCAGAAACAACACCAAGAGCAATAATAATTGAAAGACAAGGTAGCGATTACAAAAAACTTGAATTCAAATTTCATCCTAACTGCAAGAATGGCTGTTAATTTGCCTCTATCTCGTGGACAGCTTCTTTTGCAACTATCTTTAAATAAAAACAAGGAAATTAGTCATACAAACGAATTTAGAAATTTTCAAATCCAGGGATCGGTTGTTACAGAATCAGTAGACGAGAATGAAAAAGATCAACGTGATGGAAACGATAACATGCAATATGAAAACGATCTTCACAATGAGTCTGATGATGAAATGCTGTATGATAGTTCTGATGATCCAGTTTGGCAGCCGAAAAGAAAAGAAATGTTACAAAGCAGCTCAGACAGCGAATCAGATTGTAGCAGTACGCGTAAAAGAAAGAGAAGAAAAACGATAAAAATCAAACAGATCAAGAAAAACAAAACTGTTACTAGTAATTTCACGAATAAATCAGTCAATGATACAAATGCAAAAGTCAATAATAGTGGTGAAGAAATCGTAAGAACTGATAAAAACCAAGGGGCTCCTTGTAACATTTCCAATGAACCCATTAACGACGAGCAGATTCCATTTGAAAGAGAAGTGATTCTTGGGGAGCAGAGTCAATCAGAAACTGTACCTCCTGAACAACTGCAAGTAGACCAAAACAACGAGTCGGAACATGAACAATCAGATCCTGAAACTCTTGATGATAGACAAGAAATTCATTCAGAGATGGCCAATGACATGAGAACCGCACAGGAACCTAAGAAAGATAGAAAAAGAAACCCAACAGACTGGGAGAAAAATAAGCAAAAAGCATTACGAATGCAAGGAAAAGGCTATAAAGGGATGACGAAAATTTCCGGTCACTATAAATTTACAGTAGAGAGACCAGAAAGAGTGATGAAAGAAAGAAAGTGCTCAAGGAAGTGTCAGAACTGTTCTTCGATAGGCGAGGAAGAAAGAAGAAGCATTTTCAATCAATTCTGGAACAATATGGACTGGGATCAGAAAAAAGTTTACATTTCAACGTTGGTGGATGTGAAAGGTTGTAAACAGAGGAAGCAAGACAAAGATATAAGTAGGCGTTCTAGATCTCTAGTTTATCATCTCAAACGAAACCATGAAAGGGTTCCAGTTTGCAAAGCCATGTTTTTGCTTACCTTAGGCATTGGTGAAAAGACCGTTTATTCGTGGATTGATAATGCAGATAGGGGAATTCCAAAGCCACCCACCCAAAGACAGATACAAAGTCGAGCCCCAGAAAAGGTTTCTTTTGCTAATGACTTTTTGAAACAACTACCAAAGATGCCATCACATTATTGCAGATCATCTACCTTGAAACAGTATTTGGAACCAACTTTTAATTCCTTCTGTGAACTCTACAATGAATACACTGAAAAGTCCAAACAATGTAACCAAGCATTCCTGTCAAGGAAAACGTTTACAGAAGTATTTGAAAGCCAGAACCTCTCTTTATTCAGCCCTAAGAAAGATCAG